TGCGTGCGGCGCGCCACTCTGCGCACTCTTCGGTGCGGCCCAACACTTNATCTGTTGAGATTATTGGATCCTTTGTTTTTTTCACGACGATGATATACTCTTTCAATTTCACTGATACATTAATTGTCTATATGGTTTTTATACTGAGATCTGTTGAGATTATTGGATCCTTTGTTTTTTCACGACGCCAGTATACTTTTTCGATTTCACTGATACATTTATAGTCTATTTGTTGCAATACTGCTATTCATTTATTGTGCATTGTGCGATCTGTTGAGAGTATTGAGTGCATTGAGTTTCTCACAACACTAGTCAGATCATCATTTGTGCAATTGCTGCATCTTATACTACAATAGATGTATATTGTGAAAATCTCTCACTAAACGTAGGGTGACAGGAGAAAATTCTTGTTAGAAAGTTCTCTTAATGTCAATCTATGTATAAAACAGCTTTTTGTTAGTTGTTCTATAATTTTACTGGTGTTTTCATGATCATATTTTTCTATTGCGAAATTGTTTTAGAGGAATTATGTGAAAATTATAAGTGCTTCAACTTTCTAAAGTTGGTTTCTTCAGTTTGCGAATGTGTTTTGCTATTCGTATCTGATTGATTCTGTCAGCGCTGTATGCTCAAGTAAAAGATTAAGCCATGCATGTATAAAGTTCAACTTCAAGTGAAACTGCGTACGGCTCATTAGAGCAGATATTATTTTCTTCGAAATTCGATAGGATAACTGCGGTAATTCTGGAGCTAATACATGCGACAAAATCCCGACTTCGGAAGGGATGCAGATATTAGTACAAACCAATCGTCTTTGACGTTGTTTGTTGACTCTGAATATCGTAGCCAATCGACGGTCTATCCGTCGATGATCGAAAAAAGTGTCTGCCCTATCAACCAGATGGTAGTCTATTAGTCTACCATGGTTATCACGGGTAACGGAGAATAAGGGTTCGACTCCGGAGAGGGAGCCTTAGAAACGGCTACCACATCCAAGGAAGGCAGCAGGCGCGTAACTTATCCACTACTTCAGTGAGATAGTAACTAAAAATAAAAAGACCAATCCTTTGGATCGGTTATTTCAATGAGCTGAGCTTAAATAGCTCTACGAGGACCCAGTGGAGGGCAAGTCTGGTGCCAGCAGCCGCGGTAATTCCAGCTCCATTGGCGTATATTAAAGTTGTTGCAGTTAAAAAGCTCGTAGTTGGATCTGAGATACGTACATTGGTTCGGCTCTGCCGTTAATCATTGTTGTATCTATTTTGCTGGTTTTCTGCAGTTGGTTTTGCCTCTGTAGTGGCTAGCGAGTTTACTTTGAATAAATCAAAGCGCTCAAAGCAGGCGATTGCTTGTATGTGCTATCATGGAATAATAAAAGAGGACTTCGGTTCTATTTATTGGTTTAAGAATCGAATTAATGATTAAGAGAGACAAATCGGGGGCATTCGTATCCCTGCGCGAGAGGTGAAATTCGTGGACCGCAGGGGGACGTCCAAAAGCGAAAGCATTTGCCAAGAATGTCTTCATTAATCAAGAACGAAAGTCAGAGGATCGAAGGCGATTAGATACCGCCCTAGTTCTGACCGTAAACGCTACCAACTAGCGATGAGGCGGTGGCAATTTCGCCCTGCCTCGGAGCTTCCCGGAAACGAAAGTCTTCGGGTTCCGGGGGTAGTATGGTTGCAAAGCTGAAACTTAAAGGAATTGACGGAAGGGCACCACCAGGAGTGGAGCCTGCGGCTTAATTTGACTCAACACGGGAAATCTCACCCGGCCCGGACACTGTTATGATTGACAGATTGAGAGTTTTTTCTTGATTCGGTGGTTGGTGGTGCATGGCCGTTCTTAGTTCGTGGATTGATTTGTCTGCTTTATTGCGATAACGAACGAGACCGCAACCTCTAGATAGTTCTCTGATACTTTCGTCAGTTGAACTTCCTAGTGGGATAAGTGGCTCTAAGCCACACGACAAGCGGCAATAACAGGTCTGTGATGCCCTTCGATGTCCGGGGCCGCACGCGCGCTACACTGGTAAGATCAGCGCGCGTTTCCTTGACCGAAAGGTCTGGGTAAACTATTGAAAACTTACCATGATTGGGATCGGGCATTGANACTTTAATCGCAATGGCTTGAACCGGGCAAAAGTCGTAACAAGGTACCTGTAGGTGAACCTGCAGGTGGATCATCGCTGAACCATTTTGGTCTGCTGATCATAAAAATCTGGGGCTTATCTAGATAATATTTATATTGTCTTTCTCAGATTTTTCCGCAAAAAGCTCTTTTAAGGTACTTGCACATTTATGCTTTCATGTGAGCGCATGATTATAGCATAATAAAGTATATCATATCATATTATGTTATACTTCAAGTTTAATGACGATGCCTGAATCGCGCCTTGCCGGTGAAGTCCAATAATTTGGATCAGCCTTAATACTTGAAAAAGTGGCACTTTATATGTTGATATTTGTGAGTTTCAGTTTGATAAAAACTATATAAAACTAGCTCTAGCGATGGATCGGTTGATTCGCGTATCGATGAAAAACGCAGCAAAATGCGATATTTACCATGAATTGCAGACGCTTTGAGTGGTGAAATTTTGAACGCACAGCACCGTTAGGATTTCTCTTAACGGTACGCCTGGTTCAGGGTTAACTTATTTATTTTCAGAATTTTTGTTCTGTTCAATCGGATAGCTAGATCTAAGATCTACCTGTCTTAGTAAAGATATTTGTACCAGTTGACAGTTTTTCTGTTATTTGTGTATTTAACTATTGTTGTTATCATTTTTCTTTTATAAAAAATTAGTAAAATGATAGGCTAGACTACATCTATAGTTAAAATACGATAGTGTAACCTGAACTCAGACGTGATTACCCGCTGAACTTAAGCATATTATTGAGCGGAGGAAAAGAAACTAACAAGGATTTCCAAAGTAACGGCGAGTGAACTGGAAAAAGCCCAGCGCAAAATTGCTCAGTTACACTGCTGCAAAATGTTGCGTATAGGAGTTATTGTCTGTTTATTTGATATATTCGAAGTCTCTTTGATAGGAGCCATAGTCCTCAGAGGGTGCAAGACCTGTACGAATAGTTAAATAGATGGTTTGATAGCTCTTTTGAGTCGGGTTGCTTGAAAGTGCAGCCTAAAGTTGGTGATAAACTTCATCTAAGGCTAAATATAGACGCGAATTCGATAGCAAACAAGTACCGTGAGGGAAAGTTGCAAAGAACTTTGAAGAGAGAGTTCAAGAGAACGTGAAATCGTTAGAGTGGAAGCGGAGANACTTCCCAGTGAGGGTGTTAGGCCCGTTCGGATTGCGGCTTCGTCGGTTGGGATTGTCTGAGAGTAGAGTTGCTTGGAAGTGCAGCTCGAATTGGGAGTTATACCACTTCCAAGGCTAAATACGACCACAAGACCGATAGCGAACAAGTACCGTGAGGGAAAATTGCAAAGAACTTTGAAGAGAGAGTTCAAGAGGACGTGAAACTGGCAGTGGCGAAGCAGATAGCGTTGACGAGTCCGCTGGTATTCAGTGTTAGTGTTCTGCATGCTTACTCAGTGCGAGCCGTTAATTCGGTGGCCGGGTGGGTAGTGTTGTGGTTCACTGGCGCGGTTTCATCAGTGGTATACGCCGAGATATCTGAGTGCTCCTTCGGAGCCGTGGGTTCGTGGCCCACCCTCGGGTGGTCACCAGTCCTGCGGTGATGTTGATGCTGCGCTTAGGTAGCTCTCCAAGCCTTGCCTTTGTGCATGGCGTGTGTTTGCTTGTAGTTCACCATGGATGTAGTTGCTTATGCTGCGCTTTGGTGTTCTGCAGGTGAGTGTGCGCTGTGCTATGGGCTTGCTTTCGGCGTTGTTCAAGTCGACCACCTATCTGTCCCGTCTTGAAACACGGACCAAGAAGTCTAGTAGTTATGCGAGTCATTGGGTGCAAAACCTATTGGCGTAATGAAAGTAAAGGGTCGCTTGCGGCCTGATATGTGATCCGTGGCTTGCTGCGGCGCAACATAGCCCCATGTCGATTGCTTGCAATGATGTGGAGGTAGAGCATAACTACTGGAACCCGAAAGATGGTGAACTATGCCTGGGCAGGATGAAGCCAGAGGAAACTCTGGTGGAAGTCCGAAGCGGTTCTGACGTGCAAATCGATCGCCAGACCCGGGTATAGGGGCGAAAGACTAATCGAACCATCTAGTAGCTGGTTCCCTCCGAAGTTTCCCCCAGGATAGCTGGAGCTTTTTCGCTGTTATATCCGGTAAAGCGAATGATTAGAGGAATTGGGGTCGAAACGACCTCGACCTATTCTCAAACTTTCAATGGGTATGATGTCTCGGTTTCTTTATTGAACTGTTGACATGAAAGCGAGCTCCAAGTGGGCCATTTTTGGTAAGCAGAACTGGCGCTGTGGGATGAACCAAACGTCTGGTTAAGGTGCCTAACTTTTCGCTCATGAGACCCCATAAAAGGTGTTGGTTGATATAGACAGCAGGACGGTGGCCATGGAAGTCGGAATCCGCTAAGGAGTGTGTAACAACTCACCTGCCGAATCAACTAGCCCTGAAAATGGATGGCGCTTGAGCGAGAGACCTATACCGGACCGTTGCAGGCTTGTGCGTTGACAATCGCCTGGCCGCAACGAGTAGGAGGGTCGTGGTGGTTGCGTTGAAGGCTTCGGGCGTAGGCCCAGCTGGAGCTTCCATCAGTGCAGATCTCGGTGGTAGTAGCAAATATTCAAGTTCGATCCTTGAAGACTGAAGTGGAGAATGGTTCCACGTGAA